GTGCAGGTCGGAAAAGAGTAAGTGGTGGCCAAACAAAAACATGGCCTCATCAATCCATGAAATCCCTGACAGTTAAACTGAGTCAGGTAGGGAGATGCAGACTTCCGGGTTGGGGTCCTTGGGACTCTAAGAATCAATGGCTGTAGACAATAGGTGACATGGCTCAAAATCGTTCTCAATGGCGCAGATGTATTCAGTCTCTGTAATCTTTCATATTCCTTTCTACCATTACTCATTCTGTTTCACTCTTATACTTGTCAAAACTCTATTGATTCTCTTCACTCATTTTCTTGTTTACCTTTGTGTGCTTTTTAGAACGTGGCAACTCGAACTTCTGCACTTCGGTGCCAAGTTCTACGTTGAATCCAGCCAGCCAGCCAACATTTAGTGTCACTATTATTATATTATTGATTTCATTTAAAATGTTTTCTCTTTTCAGGAAAGTTGCATTCCATTTTTGTGTATTCATATATCTGTTTCTCTGATGAATAACAAGAAGGTGAAAGATGTTGATATCATTCCCAAATCTGATATTCGTCAATTAATCAAAGTTGCAAAGCCACAAACTCAACGAACTATTGATCATCCTCATGCAAGATATAATCAGTTAGGTCGCATATCGTGTATTTTATGTGGTGTACAGATTAAATCAGAATTCGCCTGGACTGCACATATTCTGAGCAAGTCACATAAGCAGGTATTTGATAAGAGGAGATTAATAAACAATGCATATATATTTTTTAGAATGAACTGCGTGGAGTCCAGCCTCTCACTAAACGTCCTGCTGTTGAAAATAATCCGGATGATGTAAAATCATCTAAACTAACAAAAGTTGACGAGGTATCTGCATACTATTCTGTATTCATATATTCCTCTTTTCCTTCTAGTCTGTACAAAATAAATCAGATGTAAAAATTATCAAAGAAGCACATAACAGTAAATCATCGACTATTGTTTCTAAAGATGCAGTGGTCGAAAAAAATCCTACAGAGAAAAAAGTTGAATCAAAATCTCAACTCCCAGAAGGCTTTTTTGATGATCGATATAAAGATGCTAAGGTAGACGGTAATTATTGTAATACTTTAACTTTTTTTGCATAGGTTCGTTGTGTTCCGTATAAGGATAAAATGACAGAGGAATTGGAACTATTCCAAAAAGAAATGAATGTTTTAGAAAAGGTAATTTTGTAAAATCGATCTCTCCAATAATTCACATTTACTGTTTGTATAAGTCATGTAAGAAGGTTTGCGCCTATGTGATCAGCAGAAGTTAATGATATTAAGACTGATGTATTCACTTGTTACTTTTGTTAAAGGCGTGAAAGATTTCACTAGCCTTCATTTTAATCATTCTCTCCTTTCCCTGCCTTTCTTATACTAATTGGAATTATGGCTTTTGGATAATTTGAGTTTAGATTTTGTCACGAACTGACAGAAGGTAGGGTTCACAGGTCACTGAATTCCAACCCAAGTGACTGAATGGTCAACCAGGTTGGCCTAGTAACCTGAAGGTTCCGGGTTCAATCTCTGGTAGAGTTGTGAGTGCGTGAGGTGGAAGAGTCCGAAAATGGGACAGTGCTCTCTGATTTTCTCTGGTTCTTTAACCAGTGCCACCTCTTGATCTAATTTAAAAGTAATCAAATCCCTACACACCAACACTTTAAATGTTTATGTATTTGTTTTTGAGATTTTTCAACAGTTCAGTAATCTCACTACACAAAATTTTAATTGAGCCTTTTGAAAGGACTGTTGCTTGAATTCATTTCCTGTAATAGGTCTTTCATGTCCCAGGCTATGAGCCACATTTTTGTGACGACCACTGATATTAACAAATAGGCCAAGTAGGTGGAGCGGATTCCAACCCGACAGCTACTGAAAGTTGAGTGAGCCACGTCTGCACGCCTTTTTGAAATGACCAAGATTATACAACCCAAACTAGTTGTATTGTTATTTTTCATTACCACAAATTTCTTTAACCGTCCATAACCGTACAGCTAAATAGTAAATGAGTGAACCGTAGGAAATAGTCCATCCTTTGAAATTAGTGGTACGGAATATAGGATTCGTTGTTTTAAATTGATCTATGAATTACTGAAGATGTTTGACTGGTGTGTTATCCATCTTACAAACCATCTTAATGGTTTTTGCTTTAACGGTTCAGGTTATTAGTATTATTCTCTTCGGTCTTCAGTAACACAGCGCCAATTCATCCTTTTCTCTGCACTGCCTTTGAGTTGGCTCCACAATTGTCCATAAGCTTTCATTGCATCCACACATGATCTCCATGTTTACCCGGATCAACATCCGGCTGGTCGTCTCCATTCTGGGTTACACTCGACGGTCTGCTTGGCCTGTGATGTCACTCAGTGGCGTTTTTAGAGTACGTCGGATCCATTTCGACTGACGTAAGCATATTTGTTGGGCAATAGGTTGTTGTCTGGTTCGCTGCAGTGCTAGAGTCCCCTGTTAATTATCCTTTCTGGCCATCAAATTTTTAGTATGTTATGAAAGCAGCTACTGATGAAAATCTACAACAGCCTGTTGGAAGTGGTTTTGGTGACCCGCGCTCCAAGTATCTGAACCAACGGTCTATACAATATTATTAACAGTTTTCCGGACATGAATTTCCTCATCTTTTTCGTGTTTTTTATAGGCAACGTATCTTGTATTTCAAGGGGAAATATTTTCTCGAAAAAATGATTTCAATAAATTTAATGCCTATGTATATCGTGATAAAGTTTCTAAATCTTATCTCTACTGTTAAAATTTTTGCCAAGTTTTGGAGACTACTTATGCGAACAATTAAAGTAGTAATTATATTCAACCGGATAATATGATGTGGTTGTTGTCTTAACTGTAGCCTTCCATAGCTGAGTTTATGCTTTAACTTACAGTCAATTATACATAAATCGATGAAAACTCGTGTTAATGGATGAAATGGTTGCATATCGGGTCAGGTCGCATTCTTCATCTCAATGGTAATCATACTTAATTAAGGAAAGGTAGTGACTAAAATAGGCCTTTTGACGAAACTATGAGGTAATCTTGATTGAGTAGAGTGACTCAAGTATACTAGCATAACACAGTGATATTTGGCAGGAGAATTGTTTACTTGGTAAAATGATGTATAGTGGTGAAAAGATACAATAAACCTTACATTGAAGTTTCTATTTGCAAAAACTATTCTTATACTGTTTCTTTTGTCTTCATATTGCATGCTGTCTGTATTGTTTCACAAGGATCTACACTTATTGTCTTCACAGCTTCATCTCTTGCACACACACAATATATATATATATATATATACTGTTTATAAATTCTTGTCTGTAGTATACACTACACTGGGATTGACTTTGAACATTACAGGGAAAATAAGAGTTGCAGTAGAATTCAAACCACACACCTTTTCATGTGTTGGTCTGATGTGTTATGTAATCTATTAATTTAACAAATCTATGAATTTTAGTAAATTTTTTTAAATGTACAACATATCTCGTTTTCAGAAGTTCATCATGAAGTGATATTAGTTAGAGAACCATTGAGAAATCTGGTAGTACTGAACAGCTGTTGCGTCCTAGTTTGGGACTCCTCATCAGTATGCACCCACTAGGGTTCGAAGCCGGGACCCGATGCAATGGCCAGTTCATGAATTCCAACTTCTGACAATTCACGATATAGCACGACCACTAGCCAGTGTCATCGCTGGCAAGTATTTGTCCTCACACTCGACCTGCTGTACCCCACTGGTCACGACTTCCCACTAGAACTCCAGGTAACTACCAACCTGAACATGGTCAGTCACTAGTGTGCATCACGTTGATATTCAAGTATTGGTTTGTAGGGATTTGACAGATTGGTTTCAGGATTTCGTCATCATCATGTAAACCAATACTTGAATATCAATGAGATGCTCACTAGTGACTGGTCCTATTCGGGTAGGTAGGTATGTGAGTTCTGGTGGGGATTCGTGACCAGTGGGGTACAGCAGGTTGGGTTTGAGGACAAATACCCGCCAGCGATGACATTGGCTAGTGGTCGTACTATATCGTGAATTGACAGAAATTGGAATTCACGAACTGCTCATTGGATCGGATCCCAGTTGCTGAATGGTCTACTAGCTCGCTTTGTAACGGGAATGTCCTGGCTTCGAACCCCAGTGGGTGCATACTGATGAAGATTCCCAAACTAGGATGAAACGACTGTCTAGTACTCACGATTAGTTTTTCATTGGTTCTCTAACCGATGTCAGTTCATGATGAAATCCTGCAAACCAACACCTGAATATCTCGTTTTTAAAAAAAATCTTTTCAGCACTCAGAAGAGATTATGGAAAAAGAAAGTGAAGCATTGGTATCTGAACGGAATTTAGCCGAAATAAATGAACAATTGTAAGCTATTTTTATTGCTATCGAAATGCATTCTCCTTTATTTTGTTGCTATTTTTTTTTACTTCTCGTGAAATATTCAGTCCTTATATATTACTTTTAAACGTTAAGTATTATAAGGTGACATAAGATTAGGTTGGAAAGAACGTAGTAGTATAGACCCATGAGGTCTTTTACTGTCGATTTTAGCCGTGTCGAAAGGTGTATATTGCCTCGCTAGGGGGTCCTCAAAACGCTAAGAATCAATAGCATAAGACTGTTGGTGACATAGCTTAAATTCGATCTCAGTGGTGCAGATGCATTCACTCTTTGAGCTCTTGCAAACCTATCAAATTCTAATTAATCTCCCATAAATTTCCCTTTATCGTAGGCTGCACCAAATCAAATATTAGACTCATGACATTAGTTACTACCTGTTGTCCAATCAAAGTGTCCAATACCGTTATACAACTCATAGGAGACATGAGAGTTCCTTCTAGATTGCTTTCGGGTGCCGAAATCTGGTGCACGAAACCTAAGTCCAAAGCGTCATGTTGATTGCCTCCAGCCAACTAACATACATAAATTCACTTTGTATTGGAGTTTGCATTGTTAAAAATGTTGTCTGAGAAAGATATAATGACATAAGCTTTGCAATTAAAGCCACCATCAAGCTCACAGTAGCCCCCCGTCCCCCAACCACATTGAAAGTACCAACACACAACTAGTTAATTATTTAACTCTTTATAATGAATAAACAGTTAAAGCTCCATTGTATGGAATGGTTATAGTATTATATAAATAAACAAATAGCTAGTTACAAAAAGTATTGAAAAAAAAATTTATAGTAACAACAGTAATAATAGTAATAAAAGTAAAAAATTTTGCTTGGTTTCTTATTCAACAGAAAAGAAAAAGGAAACTGAGAATTCAAATGTTTAAAAATTTTAACAAAATATAAAACTTTTTTTCTTATTCTCCTCCATGATCACCTCCTTCAACTTTTTATTGTTAGAGTTAAATGGGAGAAAATTAAACAATTGGAACAGGCAAAAGATTTATATGAAATGCGATTAAAGGAAAAACTCTCCGATAGAAATATAAATCAATTGAAAAATAAATTAGAAAACCATATTGTTAATGTAATAAAAAAAGAAGACTATTATACTACTACTAAGGAAGACAACAATGCCGATGACAATACTGAAGATGAAGATGACGGTGATGAAGATATCTCCAATGAATTGAATGATTTTCGAACAAAAAACACAATTTAAAAGAAAGACATTTGTTTTCTTTTTTTGCTTATTCTCGGCAACTTTCTCCTTTCAATTTTGTATAAATAATAATATGTAAATAAATTATTAAATTACACAAGAGTATACTACTGATTAGTTTTTAAGTAATAAGTGATTTACAAAAGTAATTTAAGTGCAGTTGAAAGAAAAAGAGGGTATATACACAAGTTTATATTACAAATTCACTCTTTATAAGTATTGTAATTAATAATAATGATAATAGTGATACTATTGTTTTCCCTGCCAGTGGTTAATAGTCTTTCTTCTTATTTTGTAAGATAGAATAGAATATTGTCTGTAGTTCAATGAAGACACAGACTTATGAATGTACAAATGACAGTGTAGATATTGAAGGCAATATATATATATAAACGAATAGTAGATATGTGTTCATCGGGAGCTGTATATTGTCAATATTCAATATGTATGTATATGTGTGTTTGTGCTGTTGGCAATATTTTCTTTCTTTCTCTCAATCAATAAATTTCTGTGGTGATTCAATTGGTTTTTCATAACCAAAATATATTCGAGAATGCATATGTCTTCTGCCTAATAGATAATCAATTTGACGTGTAAAACCAGCATCAAAAACATTCTCAGCTAATTTAATCAACGTGCCATTATTTTCTGTAAAACTATTCATTAAATTTGTATGCTTTATTCGCCATGTAGGATTTTCACTTGGTATTACTAATGTACCATCCTGTAAAAAAATATAAGGAAATTGATACTGGTGAGATTTATAACTATGAATGTATATATATATATATATATATATATATATATAAGTGTATCGATGTGGTTTCAGGCATTATTATTACTATTATTCCATTAGAATCAGAGGGGAATATAGGGCTTCAACAGCACATCTTCATTTCATTCCTCCCCACACTGACTCCTCTGTGTCACCCTGAGACGCTCAATCCGTCGTTTTCCATTCGCGTTCCACTCGAGGGTCTGACGCGTGATGTCACTTAGCATGTGTCCGATCCATCTGCATTTTCTTTCGCAAGTATGTTGGTCGGACGATAAGTTCTTGGCTGGTCCATTGCACTATCAGAATTCCTTGTTGTTAATCCTTTATGGCCGGTCATATTACCTTCAGTATGGAGAGAAGGTGGCTGTTGATAAAAGTCTATAGTAAGCTGTTCTAAATGCTTTTGGTGACACGCTAAGTCTCTGAACTCTTTATAGAAGAACTGACTGACTTAACATTAGTGTTGAAAATTTGAATTTTGTTCTTTATGCCTAATGGAGTACATTTCCAAACTGGTTTCAGATTTATGAACGTCTATCTCGCCTTTCCAATCTTGGCTTTGATATCTCTACCCGTGATCTCAATTATTTTTTTCAGTTTTTGCTTTCTAATATGAAATTTCACTGACAAAATCTTTAGGAATATGATTTTAGGGATTTCATTTGTAAATTATACCCTTAAAATGACTGTGGGATCACGTATTCTAAGGGAAAGAGAATGACCCTTAGTATTCATGCCAACTAGTTCAATCAGTCATTGTAGTTTAAGAATAAATTACCCGTCATGCATCACTCAGTGTTTTTCAACACAGGTACCTATTTTCAAGCGTTGGTTTACAGGGATTTGACTGACCACAGGTTTTGATCACTGGCTGATATCATTTAGAGAGTCATTTTGAAAGGCTAAGGAGTAGTGGAGAGCTGTCTCTTTTTTGTTTGGGACACTTCATTAGTACGCACCCATCGGTGTTCGAACCCCAGGACTTTCTGATCAAAAGGCGGGTGCGTAGACAATTCAGCTACAAAGAGCCGACCCAAGGACCATGGGGATGTGATGTTTCTTCTTTACCGAATGGGGTGGTTAACCACCTTACGCCCAATCATTTCTCTTTACTGGTAGTTGAGGAGTGCATCAGCGGGAAATCGAACCCTGGACCACGTGCTTAGCTAGTGAACATCCATCCTACCATACAATACCATACTGAAGCACATCAGGAGTGATTGAAATTCTCAACGGTTGACAGGTTTTTTTTGTATCAGCACTATCATCGACAGATATTTGTTCAATAAAATATAATGACCTAAATTGAAAGCCTACTTCAAAGTCTGTTTAACAATCATATTTTGTTACATAATAATAACACTATAATAGAACTCTATATATAAGTAACCAGTCATTTGGTCATTACTGAACTAAAAGACTACTACTACTACTACTACTATAGGCGATAGTTAGTTGACTACTCTGCATAATTTTAGTAAATATACCAACCTACCTGCCTACCTAATGAACCTTAATTACCGCACGTTAATTAATTAATTAATGAAATCATACCATTATATATTTATTTAAAGCTATACTTTAATCACATAAACAGTCCCACCGATCATGCATTATCACTACACACTATTCGTGATTAGCTTAAGTGTGCGTGTGCTTGTGCGTTGTGTAAACACACTCATTTTCTGTGCGTGTAAACTCTTGTCTACACATGCCATGGCGTAGGTAGAAGAGATAACGCAGATAAGAGTGAGCATCCGCGCGCACACACACACACAGAGAGAAAGAAAAATGTATTTTCTAGTAAGCACTGCCTCACGTGCTTTTCTACTCTGCACACAGTTATCATTTTTCTTATGAAAATTAAAAAGAAGATTGCATATATATATATGTAGGTAGTAGGTATAGCATCTTAAATAGATCTGTGTGTATTATACAAGTATTTACATATCACTCATTTCTAGGTATTCTATTCGTGATCACTAATATGAGAAATACAATCATACTACTAATATTACCATTATAATGCGAAATGAATGTGTTCTTCTATGTTGTATTAGTTAAAGACAGTCATTCATCTTACAGTGTATGTATATATAATCAATAGAACAAGAGAGTCATTTCATCAGTACCTACCAAACAGAAACTTTTAAACACGCATAATTTTTATAATTTTAGCTGATATGAACATGCTATTAATACGTGAAACTGAGATACATAGATGATTATTAATTGTTATTATTGTTATTCCTATGCTCATCCTTACTTAACCTTCTTCATCTTGGCTATAGCTTTGTACCTTTGATAATACTGTATATATATAGATATCTAATGCCTAATTCTATAAATATCTATCACACGATATCATTCTGATGATGGTAATGATGAAGTTGACCTGATTGGAGGCATAACTTATTCTATGCATGCAAAAATTCAATTCATCATCGTCTGCTGGATGTACACTTGTGATCCCCAATGGATTGATGGTGGTGTCCCCCACCAATGAGACAGACTTAAACCAAGCATCCTTTTTTGCAAACGCTAAAGCTTTATCCACTAAAACCCCTTTGAGCTGACATGTCACAACAGACATCGAACATTCTGGTCCAATCAGTCAACGGGAAAAAATAGGATTGATTTATACAAAATAATTGAGTGGCTTGTGTTACTCACAAGACTGTATAAATAGTATATTGTGTGTGTCCTTGTGAGTGATGTCTTCTGCAAGAATGCTTGAATAGTGGAGCGACAGATTTGATTGTAAAAAGGAAAGATCCTTGTGAAACAAACTACAGAAAGCATGAAAGGAGAATTAAGGAAAAGGAGAATATGAAAAGTTTTTACTAGAATTGAAATTCCAATGTATTCAATATTGATACCGAGGTATCTGTTTGTCCTAGAGCTACACGAGAAGTGAATATAGTTCTCTGTTTTCTTTGCTTTTTAGAAGAATTGCACACTTAACTATTGGAAACTACAGTTTCAACTACAGCAGACCTTGGTGTCTTTAACATGACGAATAAACCTTAAATACCTTTGTATAATTTTATGTTCTACGTCGCATATCACCAGTTTACTTATGCTTGAAAGTGCTTTACTTCAAAATATATACAAACAAGCGGTATGCTTAAAACTTGGGCCACCGAAAAGCCTCATCAATATATTGCAGATAGGTTCTCTAATTCAGTTTGTTTAAATCTAGTAAAAGATGACTTCAAATCGTATTGTTTACTCTGGCGAGTATTCAAAATATTTACATCCTGAAGTTTCGCGAGTTTCTACAGAATATGAGAAAAGGCATTGTCTTCAATGACAGCTTATCCTAATACGTGAGCTGACCGATACTCATTAGTTTCCTTGGTTCATAAAATGTACTCCTTTACTTTTTATAATTGTCATTCAAGAAAATGTCGTGTATTTCTCGAAGGAGAAAAAGAAGAGACTTCATCAAGATGAATTGGTTTGCGCTTCAAGTCAAACAGAACTGTGTCACACGATCCACTGTCAGTTAATCTTTTATTTGAAGATCCTAGACGATGAGAAAATATCCTGAAAATAAACTCCGCTGAAAATTCTGGACATTGTTCAGGATAAAGCTATTGTTACTATTATATTAGGTAACGGACAGAGTGAATAGTACACACATTTCTTATTGTTAGTATTGATTTTCTTCAATGCTTATACTAAACAGTTTTAAGTATTCTCTTTTCCACCATGAGGTGAAAATCAGTAGACATGCAGTGTTACGATCAAAGCGAATAACCTAGCAAGTGATCTTGTACAACCAACCATTCAGATGATTCTATTCACGACCTATTCTACAGTTCCATCCTGATTTGGGTTAAGGTTTACAGTTAGTATTAAGGCTGAGGTTCGGATAATTAAATTTGCTTTTATTGATTTATTTGCCTTAAATATACATTTCTAAGTATCATTCAACTATTACCATGAGGCTAATTTGATTGGTTGTAAAAGGTCATTTGGTAGGCCGTTCTCATGGGTTGTGTGATTGAGGTTCAATTCTGTACATAAGTGCAACAGCTCAATGTAGCACACACAGGTAGATGAGGCGAAAATTATCATGAGCAGAAACGTAAGGGAGAAAGAATAACTATATGGAGAAATATGATGAGTCAATGTAACTGGTAGAGTGAGCACATCCACACGAAGCCAGTGATTCTTGGCATCCCTAGGACCCCAATCCGATAGTTTACATCTCTCTCTCTGTGACTGGCTGGATTGATACCAGGCTTTAATCTGACCACTACTAAATCTTTTCTGTCCTGATTCTATGTCAGCTAACATTGAACGGTGTATCAAGCCATTGCTTGACACTGCATGAAACATGTCTTATCCATCTCAATGAATGTAGCTTTACAATCCAGTCAGTTGACTTACCCTCCTTACCTAACACTTCAATATGGTTTACTCTTGGTTTGTGATGCTTAATGTTTATGAAGAAAATACGAAGATAGCAAACATGTTTAAATTGAGGTTGTAAAATATCAGTACAGCATTTACCTGTAAAGGTGGTGACAAATATCTCCTAATCTTTTTGATGTGGTTGTTTCTCTGAGCTGAATAGTTAATTTGCGAAAAATGCGCTGAAGGTGTTACCTAGTAGGGCAATGAAAGCTTCGCAAATTAACTATCCAGCTCAGAGAACACAACTACATCAAAATCATCCACCTGAGCTACAAATCTCTATCAAATTTAAATCTCCTAATCTATTTAAAACATCGTATTGCAACATATCATATCATTTCAAAATACTTTTCTTTGGTTCTGTGTGTTCTAAAAAATTTTGACAATTAATCTATTAATCACAATATTTACGCACACATAAGATTTACATCATACTTCAACTGATAAATTGTCAATATATTATAGTGGTTATCAAAGTAATCAATACGTAAACATTATTTGAATTGGGCGCCAAGTAAGTTTTTAAATACAATTAAACAATTGACGCAAACAGCATAAAGTGCACACCTACAACTTTTAGAAACTTATAGTCTACATTTTATTGAATAAACTCGGAATTTTCAAGAGTTGGTTTGTAAGGATTATATTTGTTTTCACGAGCTTGACTATGGATTGATATCAGCTAGGGAAATTATTGAAAACCAGCACTAGACTACTGGACAACTGTTTCATCCTAGTTTGGGAATCATCGGCAGTACGCACCCACAAATCTAATGCTTACAAACCAATTCTAGAAAATGAATCTGATGCTCGCTAGTGACTTGCTACAGGACAGAGTTCAAGGGAGAAGTTGTGACCAGTGAGGTCTAACCAGTCAAGTGTAAGGACGGATTTCCCACCGATGACATTGGTAGGCAGTTGCGCTAAATCACGAGTTGGTAAAAGTTAGAATTCATCCCAGTGGCTGAATGGTATGCGAGCTTGCCTTGTAACCGAAAGGTTCTGGGTCCTAACCCTGGCGGTGGGTGCATACTGCCGACGATTCCCGAACTAGGACGAAACAGCTGTGCAGTACTCCCTGGTTTTCAATGGTTCTCTAACTGATATCAATCCGTGATCAAACTCGTAAACCTCGGGATTCTCTGATTTTAAGCTTTCTTTGCTATCCATAAAAATTTTTTTACATTTGTTTGAATATCATTTTGTGATGTCGACATGTGCTAGTGGTTCAATGATAGAATTTTTGTCAGGATTCGGCTAGCAGCCGACGCACTTTTTATCTTGGCTTCACTAACTGAAAAACTGGGATATCGAGTATGAGTCTGGCAGTCACAGCCCGGTGAAAAAACACAACGCCACCTCCATTTAGACTTCAGGGCTTGAAGTTTTATGTTCCATTTGGAATGCATGGAATAAGAAAAAAGCGCCAGTCTATTTAGATATTACTTAGACGAAAATCAACACTGAAAGCAAAGTTAACAATTAATTGAATAATTAAAAGGAAGGAAAATTGGAATAATTCTCACCATTTCTAATAATTCTCTAATTCGTTTCATTCTTCTAATTGTCGGTTGAAATTCAATAACTAATGGGATTATAAAATCATCTGATCGTGGTCGAATACGTTCAATTAACATTTCTTCATAGTCTGTTTCATCCCAATTGACAAGATGGATTTTAATTTTTCCAAAATAATTAGCAATCAGTTCATCAATCTATACAGTACACACACACACAAAAGAAAAATAAACAAAAACAAAGAATAAGAATAAAATTCAATGTTAAACAGGTGAAAGTGTATATTTCAATGTTCAACGAAACAACAATTTTCTACCTATCGATTGGAAATTTTCAAAGGAACAAGGAGCAGTATTGGAACAGGTTTCGAATGGAACAATATTGCTTCAGACGAAATATTGCCGGTTATTATTATTATTTGAAGGTTGTGAACATGGAGCAAATACCTAACCATGAAACACGCTGAAAATTCTGTATTGTGTCTAAATTCACTTTTCAGAATAAAGCTATTTATTGTTGTTATATTAATTAGAGAATCATTGGAAACTAGAGAGTACTGGAGAACCTTTACGTCGTCATTGGGGAGTCCTCAACAGTGAGTATCAAAAAATCCACAAGGGATCGAACTGGAAAATCTAGCCACTTGGGAAAGAGTTCTAACTTCAGTCAACAAAGTATAAGTGGAAGCATTTCCCTAATTTAGACTTTGAAATTGTCCTAAACTCAAAAGTAACGATTTTGTTTAAGCGTAACATTCATTAGTACTAACTGATACACTATTATGTCTCTTTACAAATGAAATGTGTGGAGGGTGATTTTTTATATATGTCTTGATCAACAAGTGACATCTCTGGATTTGTGATACTGAATTATATAGGCGGTGACAGTAATTACACTTGGAGATGTACTTTGTTGGCAAAGGCTATTTGAAACAGATCTCGTATTTATAACATTCTATTAATGAAGCGTCATTAACAGACGCTACCGTGTCATACCAATATGCCATTCATTAACTTGTATCACTGTTTTACTGTTTACCATATATACAGAATTTCATATACTTTTGTTTTCAGAAGGTTGTAAGCTGTATATTAATAATGAAGAATCCTAAAGTATAACAAGGTTGTTATTATTATTCCTTTGGGTTCCGAGTGGAACATTGGGGCCTTCAGCAGTACATCTCCATTTCACTTTGTTCTCTGCAGTCATTTTTATCTGGCTCCTCCATATCACCATCGGATCAATGCGTAACTCTTCGTTTCCCATCCGGAATCCACTCGACGGCCTACCGCGTGATATCATTTAACGGTCTCCTCAACGCATACCTACTGCATCTCCATTTCCTTCGGCATATTTGTTCCACAATACGTTCTTGGTTGGTACGTTGCATTGCCAGACTTCCTTGTTGATAATCTTTTCTGACTGGCCATCTCATATTCGGTATCAAGCGATAGCAGCTGTTAACCAAAGTCTGAGGTTCATTGAAAATACTTTCAGCAACGCGACCAGTAATTCTCTGAACTATAAAGAAGGAATGGCTGACTTGACGTTAGTATTGGAGATCCAGATCTTGTTCCTGATACACTGGGCGTAGTAGATTTCTACACGATTTTCTTATGAATGAAGGCGTGTCTTGATTTTCCGATCCTATCTTTGATATCCTCATCTGTACCAGCTGTAGTTGAAATAATGCAGCCTAAATAATTTAAAAAGTTGATTTCCTGTAGATTTCTCTCGCTGCTGATGATTAGTGCTTGTTTTTGTTGGTCAGGTAAAACAAAGTCGTTCCTGATTATTATTTTTTTTTAAGACAAACACTATTCCCTTGAAGACGTGTGATGGATGCTTTCAATCTGATCAGATCTTTAAAGCTTTAGCGCTGTGCACTCATCAGCTAGCTTATCAAAGATCAAACCCGAAGACCTACATAGTATGCGACGACTACATTAGTGGGTCGAAATCTAATGATACTACCATGAATACTGACTTCATAAACAGCATTTATGTATTATAAAGGTAACAAACTAAAACCAACCACCACCAACACAACAACAATAACAACAGCAACAACCATCTTTTGTGATGAATTCTTAAAATGAAATATTTCACTTTTAAAAGAACACAATTTTTAAAGATTCCTACTTTTTTCTCTTCTCAAATCACTAATCATCTGCTCTATCACTCGTTTTTCATATTATTCAAAATGTAAAGTCACATGACTCACATGATAAAGTATATGAATGAATTAGTATTGTACTTATCTTCTTTTGTTTTACCGCAATTTACACATGGAATGTGATAACAGACCATATTTAAAACTTACATTTTTAAAGTGTCAATCAATAAAAGGTGTCAGTATTATGTATATACGTATGGCCTAATTAAACGGAGAAATAATAAACATCACATTTCATCGAGCTTATTGATGGTAGGAATTTTTATTTTAGTACAAGTATATCACTCAATGTGGTGGATTATGGGTTTATGCGTGTGTGTATGTGTAAAAATATTTTAGTTTTCAATAGGACATACTGTTTATTTAAACTAGAATGTGTTTTCTGACGATTCTTATATATATATATATATATATATATATATATATATATATTGTGCGCTTTTATAGCGTCAAGAGCTCTCATGTATCATTTCAAGTATAAACCCTGCTGATTCAATTCCACCTTTAAAAACTTCATTATAATTCCTTTGGGTTCCGAACAACATATCTCCACTTTGTTCCATTTCCTGCTGTCGTCCTGAGCTGTGTCCACGATTGTCCATGATCTGTTATCTCCTCCTTGCACGATCTCCCACATTCCGCCCTCGGACGACCCATTCGTCTCTTCACATTCGGGTTCCACTAGAGCTCTGGCCTGGAGCGCGATGTCATTCGACAGTCTCCTCATTGTGTGCCCACAACACATCTCCATTTTCGCCTACATATTTGTTGAGCAGTCGGCTCTTGGTTGGTTTGTACGCAGCCAGAGCTTCTTGTTGCTAATTCTTTCTGGCCGGCCATTTTTTCTTCAGTATGGAGCGGAACTGATGAGGATATCAAAGCGAGGATTGGGAAAGCGAGGCAAGCTCTCATTACTCTCAAGTCTGTGTGGAGATCAACAGCACTCAGCACGAAAAATAAGATCCGGATTTTAAACTCATATTTGAAGTCAATGCTAATATATGGATCACACGCCTGGCGCATCACGGAGGGAACTTCGAACAAACTACACACATTTTCATCAACAGCTGTCTTCTCTCAATACTCAAGGTCAGATGGCCAGCCAGAAAAGATCAGCAACAGAAATCCCTGGTAATGAACGAACCAAAGAGGAATCAATTGTAAAACAATTATGCAGGAAGAAATGGAGGTGGATTGGCGATACTGTGAGAAAACGAACCATCAAGTGACATCACATGCCATGCTATCGCTTGAGTGGAACCCGAATGGGAAGTGGCGAGTTGGTCGTCAGTGCGAGGGTGACATGGAAGAGGTCATGTGGAGAGGAGATGAAAGCATATGGGCAAACGTGGAGCCAAATGAAAACGTTGGCAGAGAACTGAAGGCAACTGAGACGTGCAGCTGAAGCCCTCTGTTCCTCTAGGAACTAAAGGAAACAATAATGGAGCAAAGGTGGCAGCTGTTGATAAAAGTCTGTAGACTGTTGGAAATCCTTTTCGTAATGCGTAGTGTAATTTTCTGACCCGACCACGCATGTGGTCACGGGTTCTATCTTCGGCCGCCGCAATCCTGTAACTCGCTAAGCCAGTAATAAGACTGGTAAAGAGGGAAGGTTGGGCTGGGCATGAGGCTAGCAACTCCACCCCGTAAAAATAAACACCACTGCTACCAAAACTTCAAGCCTCTAGCTTGAAGCCCTATGTTCCACTGGGAACGCAAAGGAAAAAAATGGAATGAAATGATGATTTAAAGAAAAGATTTACTCCTCGAGTGATAATATCACAGTTATTGTGTACAAGAGAAATGATAAAGAATTATGTATAAATGAGTATTTCGTTAAGTAAAATCAGAACACAGAAGAAAGATTACTAAGTGATTTATTCAAAAAGGTCTTACACAAGTGTTAAACGTAGTAGAATGATACTGACAAGTTTTCGTAAGCAGTATATTTTGTGAGATATTTTCAATAGGGGGTCTTCATTCACGTGTAGATTTGTAGTCAACAAGGAAATTTTAAGGCAAGATCACATACTGACATCAGTTAGAGAAACAGGCGACGGCGGATCTACTGGATAGTCGTCTAGTCGTAGATTGGTGGTTATGGGTGTGTACTCCTGATGAGTCCCAAGTTGAGACGAAGTCCAGTAGACCCATGACCACGGGTTTTCAATGGTTCTCTAACAGATTTCAGTTTTTCATCAAAAATCAAGTCTACAGTTTGTAAATTGGTTAGCAATTTGCAACCTAGACAATTTTAGTGGTGAAATTTCATCTTAGTATCCTTCGGAAACCAAAATTATTCAGATCACAATATGTGATCTACTTGAAAGCATAAAATAGTAATCAAGAAAGTAAGCATATTTGTATGAAGCTATATACTACTGGTTAACTGCGATGAGTAGTTGCATATCACTCATATCAAGCAGTAGTATATACTTTGTCATCAAGGCTGAAATTCTCCTGTTAACTACAAATCTACACTTGGTTAAAGATTCTCTATTGATTATTTGGAACTCACTTACTCGGATCAGATTTTTCATATTCCAGGCTATGAGCCACACGTATTGTCTGTGAGTCAGCTGATTGTACTTACTGCACAGTTATGCAGGCTGAAATAGTTGGAGTGGGATTGGAATCCAAGACTTATTGGTCATAAGTGGAGAGATTGAATTACAACATAGTAAAACACTGTTTCAAATACTTTATGATAACTAAAAGTAACCAGCGCATACATCACTCATAAACGCGTATAAAAAATATTATAAATATATGGCATTAACTTACATCACTGCTTGCTATAATCAAAGAGGAAAAATCAATTTCTCCAGGTTTAGCTGTCATGGCATAGTCTAAACACGGTGATATATCATCTGGTGAACCGCATATAAGGATTTTTTGACGAGGAGAACCTTTCAAAAGATAGACAAATACAGAGGATAGTAAGTGTTCAAAATAACATACTTAATTAAATCACTTCATACACATAGAATGCTCACCGAGCATGCACGTGGTCCAGGGTTCGACTCCTGGCCGGTGCACACCTTTACCTCCCTTAACCGACTATAAGTCCAACAAAGAGGGAAGACTGGGCATGAGGCTAGCAAACCCACTCCGTAAAAAGACACTACTGCTATGAAAACTTCAAAGGTCAATTTAAAGCGCTTTGTTCCACTCGGGACGCAAAAGAATAAAATAAATTAAGAAATAATAACCATAGACACTAGAAAGTTTTCACTGTTTATCAGGCCTCTTTAATTATGTCTAAAGTAGTCAGTTTTAAAAGTTTTAGTAGCTTAAAAATCCTCATTTGTGTACGTGTGTACATGAGGTTTGTCAAGTTTAGATAATTGATCAGGTAATACAAGAATGATCTAATATAAAAACAAGGTTATTTAGACAGTAACTAAAGTAAGATTGAGTTAGCGAGTTAGATGACGTAATATAATTGACTAAAATGTTTCAACTTAGGTCAGAGTAGCAGCAGAGGTAATTACAGGTAGAGACTAAGTAGAGGCGGGATAGAGAATAATACCATTTAAATAATACTAATGAAGAGACAGAAGAAAAGGTTAGGTAAAATTTACTTGTCGAGTAATAAGATAGATTACGTCCATTGCAAGTGTAGTGATTGAACGAACTTCTTCTGTATGCAGAGTTCAGGACTTACCAAGTGAATCGCCATTGCTTCTGTAGTTTTAAGAAGTCTGATTCGTACACCTTTAGGAAGACTAATTCTTACTCTGTAGACGACTTTGGAGTTTGTTTAGGGTGTAGCTTGGTGTCCGGAATCTATCAGATCTTCTAAGATGGAACTGAGGGGGCATCGTTTTTCTCCTTTGTAAAACCATGTTGCTAAGTGTTCGGTGATACGTTTGGAAAGCGAACGCTGGGGTACGGCCGACATACCTGGCTCCACACGAGCAGGTGAACTGATAAATACACATTGATGAGGTCAACAGTGGTAGCTTATCCTTCACATTCACATGAATCATAGGTTTTGTGGAGAAGGTTAATTTTAGTTTAGCTGCGAAGTAAGCGCGACAGTCGAGTTTTTAGTTTTTTAAAAGTTTTACCACCACAGCTTTAAGAAATGTGATAACCAAGCCATAGCTGCACATACACACACACACACACAAAATGTCGACTACGTATGTGATCAGTGTAGCAAGGTTCACGGTACTATCCAGTTTTCTACGCTTAAAAAGATAGAATGCATTGAAATCAATGAATATGATTCCACTTGATTAGTTAATGATTATATCAGGCCGTGCAATACACCTACTGAATTCGATTGACCATGTATATACAGATTAAATGTTGTCTATAGTTATGCCCTGAAATAGCGTGATGATATATACTACTGATTGTCATTAGTAGTTGGATGGTACTCATGTCATACAGAAGTGATCTAAACATCAGATGACCGTTTCGCCAGTCTCAGACTGAGTTCATTAGCGGTGTATCAGAAGTGATTTATTTCAGACAGCTAAATAGGAATGCTAGGAGAGGAAGTTGCTGCGTAACTAACGAAATGATGTCAAACTAACAGGGAAGTGCGATAATTTAACACAGCGTGATTAGGATCATAAGTGGGTGAAGAAACTTCTTCTATATACAGAACTCTCACTTCTCTGTTTCGATGGTAATACAGATGAGCTGGATAGGTGATGCTTTAAGCAGATTAATTTTCCCCTTGTAGATAAATTTTAAATGAAGACGTTGTGAAGAATAATCTGATCAGTGTCGGCCAATTATTGTGCTTCTCATATCTCAACTTCCACTTCTTCATAACCACACAGGATAATGTTCTTACACTTTTTTTGACAAAACCCACGCCCAGAAGCTGGTGCGAAACTGTTTTTCACGTATTGTGAGATCCTCGTTTTTAAAGATGTCACCTAAGCTAAGTCATCCTTGTATTCTGATCTGATGGCTCAGTAGCCATTGTGCCACTCTGATAATTTAGGGGCCAGTGGATCGAATCTTTCTCTGATCCAAATTTTCATTTTATGCTTACGTTTAGTTATCACCGAGTACATTCTTAAATCTTTTCGCAAACTACGCCTCAATGAGATTCCAGAATATGCTCTTGGTACATTATTTAAGCAAAACTGGAATCTTTGGTATTTTTTATATATCACGTGATTATGCACTAAGCCAATACCCTGAATACTTGGAGATTACCTCTTCACACTTTGTCAGTAATAAAAACAAAACTGACATTGTCCACTCTAATGTAACTTAATTATATTTGTAGAGTTAACTTCCATTCTTTATCACACCATCTATGCGTGTTTATCAATGCAGGTTGACCTACATTTCACACTAATGTTTACACACAATAATGTTACGCAATTATTTACATACCTTTGCATATAAAACAAAAGGGTGTCATCAATAAACTACCCTGGAATAGAATACATAGTCATATAAATCACATGACCTAAAATCAGTCACATAACTTAAATAATGATGAATTTGGACACTTTTTTAAATTCTCCAAGCTGTTTATTGTTTTTCTCTTTTTAATTCTTACATACTTGGTGGTGTGATTAGTGTGCTTAAGTTTACCTTAAGTACAAATGTGTGCAGTTCTGAGAATAAAATGAAGGGTAATCAGTCCATATACCAGAACGATAGCCTATATATATATATATATATATATTAAATTTTCAAGTATTGGTTTTGTAAGGATTTTGTTTGATTGCATGGAGGATTTCATCATGAGCTGACATCAGTTAGATGATAAAATCCTCCATACAATCAAACAAAATCCCTACAAAACCAATACTTGGAAATTAATCTGATGCTCACTAGTGACTGGCCTTATTCAGGCAGTTAACCTGGGGTTCTAGTGGGAAGCCGTGACCAGTACGCTACAGCAGGTTGAAGATGAGGCAGTAACTCATCGAAGAAGACATTGCGAAATGGTCGCGCTATGTCGTGAATTGGCAGAAGTTAGAATTCATGGACTGGCCATTGGACCGGGTCATAGTGGCTCAGTGGTCTACGAGCTCGCCTTGTAACCAGAAGGTCCTGGGTTCGAACTGTGGTGGTGGGTGCGTACCGATGAAGAGTCCCAAACTAGGACGAAACAGCTGTCCAGTACGCCCAGGTTTTCCAGTGGTTCTCTAAATGATGTCAGCTCATGATGAAATCCTCCATGCAATTATACATATTATAGTCAAAGGGTTGGGAATTGCCACTTAATGCCTTCCATTTCAACTATTCTCCATTGTTTAATAGTCAGTAGGTAAGGTAGAATACAATGAATGCCATAGGTATAATCTATAGAATTGTTGTGAGATACTTCAAAAGTCTTACATTGAATAATATCCATCTTTCTCCTACATTCATTTGCGTTCTGAGTGGAACGCATCATTTTAACCTTATACATGAAGTTTTAGTAGAGGCAGTGTTGTTTTTTATGGGGTGCTAGACGAGGTTTAAGGAGGACATCAACCAGGAGTCGAACCTGGACCACTATATGCGTGAATGACAAGCATTCCACCACTGAACCATAGATGTGATAACCATAGCTATCTCTATCAATTTAGACCGATTTTAATATAACCGCCAAAATTAAATGATCAAACATTGCCAATGTGTTCAGCAGTTGAACCAGTAGAATACCATACGTTTATCCACAAACCTGTATTCTTCTGTTTATGCTTAAAAAACTATTTTTTTCTGTCTACTTATTTTACATACACTATAATTTAATATCAATATTATTGTTCTAACATCCAGACAATTTTATTCGATTTCTAACTACAATTGTGAACTCTATCTTTATACTCTTTCTTTGTTTAAATGAGGGTTTTATTTACTCAAGGTCAAGTCTGCTTGTATACAGAGTCATAAACAAATAACAACAAGAATTAAACGAATAAAATAAACAAAGAATACTGATTGAAGTGTGTATTTTTCTGAATGATTTACTTGATTTTCAGTTAACCCACTATCTCTTTGTATATTTTGTTTTGTTTTGTATTTATGACTCATTTTCAAAATGTTTCTCATCCAGATTAAACATAGACCTCAAAATAAATAGTCATGACTAGTATAATTCATTGTACAATTTGAATTCATTGCTTTATTCAGTGGATTTATATGTTAGATTAATTTGATAGTATTTAGAAATTTAGATTATGCGTTTTATAGAGATATGGATTAATTCGAGTGTAAATTTCGTCACAAACCGACATTAGTTAGAGATCATTGAAGACTACACCTACATCCCCAGCAGAGGTCGAATCTCCAACTTTAAGGTTACGAGACTGACTAGTTAATTTGTTAAAGTGATTGAAGAAATCAATTTGTTGCTGCATTCTACTTAAGTTTGTACTATCGTGGATTTTATTTAACGTTAATGAATATTTTCGTATGTATGTTAAGAAGGATGGAGATATTACTGTAATGTTGTTTGGTTTGAAAATCTTACACTTATGAACATATCAACTGCTTTCTCAGGTGTGTGTGGGGGGGAGGACGAAAGTCATGTGTTTAGACCTTAGCGATGTTGACTTAACTCTGTCAGTCAATTTGCAATGTGATCACCAGTTTAGGAAACTCATAAGGCGATGAGATTGTGAGGCTACATCAGTTGAGATGACTAGGACACTTGCTACACATGTCGAGCCACCGCCTTCTTCGTCCAACAGTGCCAGCTGACATAAGTCTAGGTTGGAAAAGAGTCATGGTTAGTCACATTAAAACATGATATCAGTAGATGAAGTCTTGGTTTGAGTTTGGTTCGAGCTAGTTATGTAGAGAAACTTGTAGACCGTCTGGTTGGGGTCCTCGGAATGCTAAGAATCAATGGCTGGAGATTATCAATGATACAGCTCAAAATTATTCTCAGTTTTGAAGATACCTTCACTCTCCTCATGTTATTGCATATTGCTAT